CACACACGCACACACACACACGCCGGCTTACCGCTGCCAACTTGTGCAACCGAGCTCTGCCACAGAGAAACACAAAGAGCGGGCTTTTGTTGTACTCCGCGGGCCGCTTCGTCTCATTTATCGTTCATCATTTGATTTAACAAACTTATTTTCTTCATTTATTCACACCTGCTTCATATTTGACTCTGCTTGTGTAAATGCCCCTGGTCGTAAAAGCTGCAAGGAAACGTGTGAACTCTGGTCATTTTCCACATTAAAAGGGTCAATTAACAGAAACGTATTTTCCCTTTTACCTCTAGTGATATCTAGCCATGCCGGATTTGAGGTGCGGAGGTTTCGAGTTCTCTGCTTCCACCCAAACTCAATGGAGGTGAATGGAATCTTGTTAGTGATTCTCACACCCTTAGAAGAAAAGAAAAAAAAGACATCTCTTTCCAGATAAGGTGTCCCTGTGATGCTGGATAATCAACATAACACAATTTTCTCTCCTTTTCAGTCCTCTGAAAACTGTTACCTGTCTGTATGTTATCTGTTAATATCTCCAGAGAAACATGGACCCTGTTTCTGAAAAAGGTGCTTTTTTAAAATGCAATTTTCCATGCTTTGAACACCGCAAACAAAATTCCATTCACCTCCATTGTATCAGGCTGGAGGAAGGAATATCCAGCCAGAATATTTCAAAATGAAAAACAAAACTATCTGCATGATGGACGTCAAGTGGCAAATGATAAAAGATTCTTCCTGTAATTTAGATTATCTAACCCTTTAAAGAAGCGATGCTTATGAAACATATCTTGTGCTACTTATCAGGTGTTTGTCTGTAAAAGATGTTTTCAAGCTGACACCATGTGTTGTTATTAACTCACGTTTTGTTAAAAAGTAACCAGAGATCTTGTACCTCGCCACATTACACTACTTATGTGTAACAAGTGAGGGTTGGCAGTTGTGCACTCTACACACAAGGTTACATATATATCTAAAATATATTTACACACACACACACACACACACACACACACACACACACAGATTGACCTGAGCGAGCTGTTTGATGTGTGTTCCTAACAGAGAATGAAACTGTTCCTTTGTGAGGGAGAAAGAAAAGGACGGAGGATCAGGTTGCCTCCTACACGCCATGTTCTCTCTGTGGAACTAATGTCATTTAGCAGCAAAGCCAGCAAACACACAGGCGTGACCATGTGAGCTTGTGTGTGTGTGTGTGTGTGTGTTAGGAGATGACAGAGAGAGTGTGTGTGTGTGTTAGGAGATGACAGAGAGAGTGTGTGTGTGTGTTTGTGTGCCACCTATGCATGAATTATAACTAGGCTTTGACTGAGGGTGAATTCGGCCCTTCTTCATGGTTTGATGAGTCAGTGGTCTGTGTGTGCGCGTGTGTGTGTCTGCACAGCAGGAGTAAAAGAGTGAGACAAAGAGGAGAAGGAAAGACAATGATAAACAGAGGACGTCTGTGTAACCTTTGCTACGAAATGTTTCTTTTTAATCTTAAAAAAGAACAAATGAATGAACAAACAGCCAAGAGAATAAACAGCAGGGATCCATGTAAAGCGTTACTGTTAGTCATGTTAAACTATCAGACAAGGCTGTTTTTTTCCCTCCAGCCTGTCTGACTGTACTGGACTGGAAAATAATAAGTGATAGCTGTCTTAATCAGTAACAAAAACCTCACTGATCCCTGAAGCTGTCAGAGAGCCATAACATCATATTCTTGGAGATCTTCTTGGAACTTTTAGCCGGCCAGCCCTCCTGCTTTAACCTCCTCCAGTCCTATTTTTTTTTTAACCTGCTACTGTATGTTGCTCCATCCACACAGGGGATTACTTAGAAACTTCTAATGCAGGGGGGGATGATACTAATGGCTACCAAAGCACATTCGAAGCCTTTAGACAAAGAATCACGGAAGTCGTTTGAAGATTTCAGACGAGTGATGTTTCCAGATCTCATTAACTAAAGGCTGTTTGAGTGTTGTGTGGATAATTAGAGACGGCGGAGGCTGCGTCTTTTCAGCGGTTGTAGAACAACGTTCCCATTAACACCTGACATAGAAGGAATCCCAAAGCAGCCAGAAGATACATCTGGATTTTGTCTTGGTTGGAGGGCCTCAAATGCTTAAAGCGCAGGTGTTCATCTGTGCACATGGAGCTGGAAGCTGATTCTCACACTAGTTTGTTTCTGGTTTTGTTCAACAAGTCAAAGCTTGTATCGAAAGCTAACACCTGGTATTAAAATCAAAATGCAGTTTAAAGATAAAAATAGAGCACCTGAATGATTTGACCCATACCCACGAAACATAAAGAAATGGGAAGAAAAATAGTTTATAAATTGCAAAATTAGTTTTTTGGTGTCTATCTGTAGACATCTTGACACATCCCCTATCCGGATTTAATGGCAGGTGTAAATTGGATCATTCATGCTCCAAGGAGCAGGGATTAACTATCAAACAATATAAATTCCCCAAACTAAGGCTAATCCACACTCCTCTGGATTCAAACCCATGCTGTTACGAGCATGTGGTCTGCACAACAGCAGACTGAGGCACCAGGAAACCACAAATCCCCGTCAATTTAGCCCCTTTATCCAAACATCTCTGTGGCGCATTGGATTGATGACCCATGTAGCTGGTCACCATCGGAGTTCTGCAAAACAGCTAATTTACATAATCGCATCATAAATACCGAGAATTCATTTAATCATCTCCTCTGTTCTGATGCTCAGGGCTAAAGAGTGTTGATATGATAAGACAGCGAGTTATTAAGGAAGGAGAGAGAGGGAGGCAGAGAGAAGGAGAGAGAGAGCAAAGGGATCAGTGAGTGAGTGAGTGAGCTTGTCCTGATTTAAGCTGCCGCTTGGGGCCAAATGAAAATTAATTAATTTCTGTGAAGAATCAATTTCTCAGAATGACAGTGTCAGATTCAATGTGTGCATGTGTGTGTGTCAGAGAGACAGAGAGAACACTGTGGTGTGTGTGCTGTGTGATCAGTAAACAAGAGAGGGACTCCTTGTGTGTGTGTGTGTTTGTTGTGTGTTGTTGTGTGTGTGTGTGCATGTCAGAGAGAGTGAGAGATTATAACCTATGATAACATGACAAACTTTTAAGACTGCTTTTTAAAAAAAAAATGAGATTACTAAAATTCATTATCGTCAACACCACCATCATCCGTTAAAATGGTAATTAAGTGACAGGCCTAGCAGCACTAATGTGGTAAATAAAAAGGGGTTAACTGGACCTCCAGCCAGTTGGCACTAAATGCAGCCATACAAACAAAAACAGGTCATATTTTCAGAAAAATAATTTATGGAATATTCCTTAAACACATATAGTTTATGTATGTTTAACAGTGGCTTTTAGATGACTTTATTAGCCTTTAATTCATACAAATCCCATGCAGATATCAGAGTGACGCTGAAGCAAAGTCCTGAAATATTACAGAAATATTATGACACCCTAATATATAAAACATAAGGCTTCAAACTGATCATTAATTCTCACTTTGCAATTTAGATTTTCATGGATGCATCCTGGAAGAGCCATGACCTGCAGACTGGTCTCAGGTACACAGTATAAAGGTGGGTGAGTAAGCCCTTATACCTGCTTTAGATAACCCCACCTGCTGCAACCCCACCCCACCCCACACGCCGCCACCACCTGACCTACCGGTTCACACTGGTCCAGCCCCCTTCCTCTCCTCTCCTCTCCCTCACACCTGACTCACCCTTGGTGGTACAGGTCGTTGTAGAGCGGTCTCTCTATATGTCTTCTGCCGAGTGATGAGGTTTGTCTTCTATATCTCTGTCGTCCTCTGTCGTAGGCGCTCCTATATGCTCCCATGCACCTCGATTCTCTCTCTATTCGTTATTCACCATCCTGGTGGCTATTTATATTTTCTCTTTATGCTTTGGTGTAGGTATTCTTTGCGTGTTTGTTAGTCTCTCTCTCTGGCCGACCATTTTCTTTGTATGTATAACAACCAGTCGAAACGCCTCGGCAGCTATGGTAGTCCCGTGTCTCCCATCCGTGAACTGGTATGCTCCATTTTGTCTGTGTGCACCCTTGCACACATCCACCATGTTCACTCGTTGTTTTGCCCGGCCGTCCTCCACGGGGCGACAGGCGGTGGCGTTACACGGCTTAGCCGCCTGCGTGGGACACCGGAGCTCCTCCGGCTTTAACGGTCTCCCCGATTCCTGGCCAGTTAAGAGGTCCCGCCCTGAACGATGGGAGCAGCGCCGGTGGGCCACTGCGGAGAGCGGGAGAGAAGCGGCCGGAGCGGTGGCGCAGGTGGCGGGGTTGGGTGGCCGGAGAGACGGAACTCGGCGCCGGGTGGTGCCCGAGCGGAGCGGCGGGGAGCAGAGCCGGAGCAGCCGGAGTTGCCATGGTAGTCATGTCCGACACTTAAAGTACAAAAGTAAACTTCAAAGTCAACTACCTAAAGAAAGTAACTTCACCGAACAAACGTAGTTTGCTTCGCCCGGAGGGAAGTGCGCATTGAGTGTGCCGAGGAGGAGAAGAGGGGGATAAAAGAAGAGAGGAGAGGAGAGGAGACAAGGGTCCGTGTGTGTGTGTGTGGAAAAACAGATCACATAGTTGAGTCAGAATGAGAGGAGGCTTGTCTCCGAGCTGGAGATGCTACTGTCACATTAACATAAAGAGGAGGAGCCTGGTCGTGTTCTTAGAGAGTGAGAGACACATTCACACAGAGGGAGAGAGAGGAGAGAGAGGGAGAGAGGAGAGGAGAGGGAGAGTGCAAAGATTAGCCTACATAAACTTTGGATAAGCCTATTTATGAACGCCTAACGAAAAGACACTTTAATGTTAATGCTCCTGTTGGGGCTTAGTGTGTCTGTGGCACTCAATTATAGCGTTTTTAAACCTTCATGGTATCACTGTAATCTTCCCACATTAGCCTGCTGTTTGGGATAAATAGTTGTATAATTGTGTTATCCTTGAACATTTTATGAACTGATCACCTTAGTTATTTGTCTTGAGAGCAATATTCCTCATGTCTAAATAATGTGGATGCCATCAGAGAGACTTCATTAAATCTGATTGCTCTGCTATAAAAACAAAAGCAGACAATAATACTGGGCATTTCAAATATCAAAGAAATATCATCAGATTACAGGAGTGTCACAGTAAACTCTGAGGTCTGTGTGTGATCTTAAGTTTAAATTTAAACATAAATGGGACACACATTTACACAAAGGCTTAGATAAGAAAAGGAGGGTCTCTTTCCTTTGCAATTATTTATATAATTAAATAGTAAACTATTTTTTTAATGTAAGAATGCAAGCATAGTGAAATATTGGAAAAAGCACCTGCAAATTTCTTATTTTTCAAAAGTAAATCAGAAGTTTGACCTCTGTACAAGTAATTTAACTTATTAATTTATTATTATTATTTATCGTTTGTACTCCTTTCAATCATGGTTTTAAATCAACAAAAATCTGAATCTGAATCTTAAGGATCCAGAATGAGTATAACCAGAGAGATGAGAGACTGCACAAAAGCTCCCAAAAGGGGAGAGAGGCAGGGGGGGGCAATAACCTTCGTGTGACAAATTGACCCCTTTACCTGTTCCCTGTACTGCTTCCTCATCCAGTCCATACACACACACACACACACCCGCGCACACACACACTCCCATCATTTACATATGGAGCTCGCAGTCCTTTCAAAGTGGCTTTCACGGAACATTGTGCTGATAATGATCTTGGTCGTGAGGGAGAGAGAGACACAGATCTCCAGAGACCATCTCACCATAAGACAAGGGGGAAGAGGATAAAACTCCGACTGTACTCCAACTCAAAGGACTTTAACACTCTTTTCCTCACAACCCCCCCTCTCTCCAATAAGCCCTCTTGTGTTTTTTAATTGGCAGAAATTAATCTTTAGGATGTAGATGGTAGATTTACATTCATTAAAAGTCAAGAGAGGAAGCCAGGCTTGATGCTAATCAAATCTGCTTAATTATGCTTAACATGAGTATCTCCAGGGGAAGAGAGAGAGAGAGGGAGAGAGAGAGAGAGATAGCTAACTCGAACTTTTTACTTTTTGCCTTTGATAACTCCTGCTGAGTCTGGCCTTTTCCTTGCCAAAAAGAAATGTCACGACTCTCTTTCTCCATCTGTAGAAAATACACCGATAAAGCCATCAGTGTTAAGCAGAGTTGATTCATGTCGTAAATTCCCACCTTTAAGTGTTTAATAAGTGGTAAAACGTTCAGTTTTAACCTCCCAGGCCAGTGCTTTGCAACTTTGCAGGCCTGTGGCATCATCTTATAATAGATTTACTGATATAATATGAACCCAGTTAGCCCACAAAAGGTGGTGTAAACAACCTGATGAGTAATATGTCACGATTATGACCTTAGATGGCAGTTTTTAAATTTCCATCCATCCACGGTCTGGAAGGCGACCACAGTGTTGAAGAGAACTCTGTTACGAGTAGGTTGCAGGATGCCCTGGTGGGAAGTAACTTTGTCTCACAACAGGAAGGTCATAGGTTTAATTCCTACAGCAGCTATTGTGCTTGAACTCCCATGAAATGAAACAATGAACCGATGGGCTTCTTACTGCGATATCTCTCCAGTTACTGAGGTATAAAATACAATGTAGCATACAGTTGAAGAGGAAAGACACATAGTCATATTTCAACGGTGTAATATTAAAGGGGAATTCCACCACATCAAACTCAGACAGGTCTTGGGGAGCACTACTGCATGTGTAAAAAAAAAAATTGGACAAAGCTTTGTGTGGCTCACGAGGGAGCTGCACAAAATCAGATAGTGCCTTGAGTGATGTCACTTGAGTCAGCATTGGTTGGGGCTGAATACTACAACTTTGAAAGTGAAACAAATCTTGGGGTGTGGATTTAGAAAGAAGTGACATTACGAGACCTCTACAGTAGTCCGCTCCTCATCTCTGCTTGAGGCTAGAATCTCTGACGAACTATCGGTGGTCAGGTTGCATTGTGGGTAACGTAGTTTAATAAGGAAGAAGAATGTGTGGGGGGAAAAAAGGTGATATCTCTGCTTCTGCTGCATCAATTTTGATCCTTTCTTCTTAAGCTGTGAGTCTGACGATGTTGTAGGAGTGCAACACTAAATCGTTGGAGTAGCTTCTCATCCTCCAATCTTCACCGCCTGGAAGGATTCACTGAATATTATCAAGTTAATTAATATTTTATATCTTCCTTAATTCCTATAATTGCTCCAGTACCGTGTGATTTAAGTACGTTTTAACCTCCAACATTTGCCCTATCCATGTTATTGTATAGTCTACATTAGTTTGTTGTTTTAATGTTTTTGGAGGAAATAGGTGACCTAATTTTTTTGTATGTTTCGATTTCAGGTAGACTTACTGATTAAATTAAAGATTCACTGGGAAACAACAGTCAGATCCCAAGTGAGTCACCCCCCTGGACCAATGTGCTTGCCAGAGATTTCAATCTGGCTTCAGGCACCTTTTTCTTACAATTTTTACTGTCTGGGACAAATAAAAGCAACCGCCTTAAAGAAATTAAATCTGGCTACTGTTTTCCTGTGTTAATAATTCATATTTATCTTGCTATAGTGCCACCGTGAGCCAAAGAGACAAAGATAATGTTCATGTTGTGTCGCTGTTTGAAAGCCAAGCTCTGGTCCTTTCCACATGTCTGTTTTGGCCAGTGAGCAGCAGAAGCATGAGGGAAATGTGTAGGTGGTTAGATCAGCCGATGAAGTGTAAATACCACTCAATCTGTTCTCATTAGAGGAGTAAAAACATACGAATCACTTCGCCTCTATTAAAAATGCCCCAGGGTCCTGGTTAAGTGTGTGTGTGTGTGTCTTTCTGTGTGTGTGTGAGCATTTGGTCGTATATGTGGTTGTGTAAGTGAGAAGGAGGGGGGTGACAGAATGATGTTTTGGCATTTGTGTCTGCAGAGGGGATCTGAAATGCCACCACCATCAGCGCTGCTTAATTCTCAGAAACACACTCTTAATCTGAACAGACAATCCGTTCCGACAGCCACTGTTATGATTCAAATCAACTTGGAGTGAAGGGTGTGTGTGTGTGCTCTTGTGAGTGAGAGAGTATGTCATTGTGTTTTGGTATGTGATTAGGTGTCTGTGCGTGTGCTCATCTCTATATGTGTGTGTGCGTGTATGACCAAGATATCACACATCCATTCCACATTCCCCTATGATAATGTGGATTGATTATGGATATGATAATGAGAGGCCGGCGCGGCGTCGCGACCTTCACAAGGTCTAATTGAAACAAGCGTTGGTCCTCCGAAGCACTTATCAAGTCACACAGCACATCATTAATCACGGAGAATACAAGCTGTCACTGTAACACACATGAACACACACACACACACACACACATATTCTCTGTTTTTCTGTTTTTCTAACATACACACACATGCTCACTTTCCTGTCTTCTTTCTCTCTTTCTCTTACACACACACACACACACACACACATACACACGCATACACACACACACAATGCAAGCTGTCACTACAATATGCCTGGTATTGTCTTCTTTTAAGGAGAGTGGACAGCTAGTCCACCCTCCATCTCTATTTTCTACAAGAAAAGTTGAAGAACAAACACGCTGTTGGAGTTAAACCCTAAAAAAACAAAGAAAAAAGAAAAAAAAACAAGAGAGGGAATGTTAAAACAATTCAACAAATATGAACAGCTGTTCACTTCACCCAAACTCGCCCAAAATTGAATTAGCTCAAGTTGTTGTACTACCTGCTTTTATTAGAAGACAATTTAACAACCGAATGTGATTCCAATGTCTGATTAAGGCAGCATATGGTGCCTACCTGTTAAACACAACGTGTTCAATACCAGCTTAACGCCTCAGTGAGCCACTCGAATAAACTAATAAGCCCAATATCATATTAGTCATTACATAGTCCAACACACAAAATTCCAATCTGATAAAAAGGTGGTTTCATTATCATCATAGGGAAAACACAAGGGAGTTTGCACGTGCTGCGTCGATGCCATCACCAACTTTGTTAATTGTTATTCAATTAACTGCTTTTGTTAATGAAACCAATTAATACTTTAAAACAAGCAGGGAGATATACGATTATTATGCATCTATGCAGAAGACAGCTAATTACAACTGTAAATCAATCAATTCTACATTAATCAGCTTGGAAAATGTCCAAAAACAACAAAGTCACTAAAAGACTTTGGAAGTTTTTTTTTTTTTTTAAAACATATTTTGATTGCCATGCCATTATCCTGTCTAATGATTGTTAACGATCCTTTAAAGAGTTTATGATCCAATTTCCTTGCTAGGAATTTAATTGGGATCTAAATAGTATAATCTTACAGTGTAAAAAGTGTGGCCTGTATTTAATCAAGGGTGGTGTATTGAAGTAAGCTCTAACAAGGTCACAGAACTCCTCTTAGGGCAAATACAGACAGAAGCTTCACATTGCTGAAAGATGAGGGTCAGAAAGGCTTGATCAGTTACGCAAATATTAATAATACAGACTCAGACTATTTATATATGTAGCATATGCATAGATATCTATATTTATATGTAGCCCATATACAAGATTATTCATTAATAGGCTGAGATTGATAGACAGACTACTTATTTTTATGTATCATATCTACGGTAGAACGTTTTGTGGACTCTGTAGTTTTGCCCTTGCGCTTGGCAAAGTGAGTGAGTTGCAATCTACAACTACACCCCTAGATACCACTAAATGTTACACACTTGACCTTTAGGTAAACGCAGAAATACCACAATATAAAAACTAGTCCATTACAGGTAAAAGTCCTGCCTTCAAAACTTTACTTAAAGCGATATATAACTTTTGAAAGAAGAAATCTACAAATTACAAGTAATAGGAAAAAATGATGCTTCTGGTCCCAGACTACTTGCTCACAGTCAGGGTCGTGTGATGATGGCCACTGTTCAGCTAAAGTTACAATGGCTTGCATTAAGTAAACTTATGTCAGTATTAAAATTCAGAAACATTTTTATTATGCACTCAAAAGGCCTCTGACAGTGTGCAATATTATCCTACAGTTGCTAATTTCAATGTTGTAGCTGGCTGCTGTGGAGCTAATTCAACCTGTTCTATATATCTAGTGTAATGCATCGCATTTCATATGTACAGTATATAATAGGTTTTTAAACTCTTAATCAGCAAAATAACTATAGCTGTCAAACAAATGTAGTGAAGTAAATGATGCTAAAATAATATTCCCTTCTCAAATAGTAGAGTAGAAATATATAGTAGCATACAATTAAAATACTGAATTACAAATATCTCTGAATTGTCTTAGTACTAGAGTTAATATTGTTGCTTTCTCAGTGTGTGGCCTCACCCACATGGATTCATAAGACACCAAAAATACAGCTGGACACACATTTATCAAACACAGAGTTCCTAAAATATAACTCCCAAGTTTTTTCATTCAACAAGAACTCATAAAGGTCTTTTAACTAAAATATCTATCCCTGAAATCACCATATAATTAGAAATAAAACATGAAATGGACACAACAAACAAAGCCCTGTCTCTGCAGGGAGACCATTAAACCTGGCTGTTTATGGCTAATGGTAATTAGTAAGCTAAGTATAACTGTGCACATAGAGATCTTTTGACTTTTGGTTAAACTCTGCTTCACACAAGCCTCTACATTGTAGTTATTTTCATGAGACAATATGTTTGTAATTTAGGTTTGTACAAACATCAACAGACCATCTTTCCTTATGCATAAGGAACTTCTAATCAGTCCAGTCTAATTATTTTTGTAATACCCAATGTAAACACCTGGACCGTAATTGCAACACATAGATCTTTCACTTTTAAATGAGACTGCCCTCATTTATCAGAAAAATAATCCTCGGCCTGGATAATTATCAGACATACAAACATAAACACCTTTAGAAGTTCTGATGTGAGGACCTGCATGCCTCTTGAGTTTATACAGTCATGTGACCTGACCAGTGCCCTAGTTGAACACCTCTTAGATGTTTATGCATATATGGACGCTAATCTCTCAGTCAGGACTATGGGATTTGTGAATATTTTGTTTTACAGAGATCAAAGTAGAAGGCTAAGATCAGGAGGAACCCTTCAAACACATCAAACAGAGAGCAATGCATCCTGAATCCCACGCCCACAGTAGCCAATCAAGCCATGCATAACTTTTTTCCTTTGTAATAGAAAAGGATTCTCAATGTGGGTCTCCCCTCCATCAACATCTCATGCAGTTCACCCCCCACGGAGGCCAGGGGTTGTTTAGGCTCATGGGCTATCGAGGAGAGCCACTGCATCATATCTGTATACCTCTCATACTTGGCTAACACGATGCTGGTATTAGGGAACAGAGGAGATACTGTGTTAAGAGATCAAAGCAGCAGTACAGAGATTTAGACTCACAGCCTGTCAGTCAGAGATGGCGAGACAAAGCAGAAGCAGACAGAAATGCTTACACACACTCTCCTGCTCACTCGCTGCGCTTTCTCCGTGGTACGCCTGTGAGGGGTGAGGCGTTATTGTCAGATGGCTTAAGGGCTACTCATTTGTAGACATCTACAGCGCTGCATGAACACCTAAACTCACACACATCGAGGGACACACACGTTCAGAAGCTACCGATTCAAGCCCTAGGTCGCTTCTCGCCTGTGTATTGGCCTGTGGAGGAATGTTGTGTGCTCTCAGCATTTTCCCTCGTCTCGAAGATGAATAGAGCTATTTTACAGACAGTGGGGAACAACACAATGCTCTGTGTGGTTAGACACATGATGTAGGGGCTTCATTTCTGGTTGATCAAAGATGTGTTTTTTTTTTGTCAAGTTTGCAATATATCTCAGATACCTTTTTGTGGATAGAGCGCAGAAATAAAGGGGGGGGAGCTAAGATTTCAGTTGAACAGGACATCCTGCTGCAAAGAATGACCCTTGTTAATGTCTTCTCGTTTGTACACGTGGATGTGATCACCCCTGAATGGTATGCGTTTGTATTATTGTGAAGTTTTCTACCACAATCTTTGTTCCTTTCGCCTAGTGTGACAGGAAAGATAACTTCCCTGGTAAAATCTAAAGCCCATTAGAATGATATCACTGGAGAAAAAGGCTTTTGGTACGTTCTACAATGAGATCAAAACAACACAGAAAAAGACAGTAATTTCATGGAAAATAAAAAGGGGAAATGTTATTTAAAGAAGTACCTGATAAAATCACAGCATTTAATTGCTCCTAAACATCAGGAAAAGTCCTGAGATAGATTACAGTTAGATCTGAACACCCAATGAATACCTGTAACTCAGCTCAAAATAAGAATGACACAACACCACCTGGTGGCCGTCAACTGTAACATTTTAATTTAGACTTTGTTCACTCATTGACGGTTACATGGACAATGAAAATGGCAAGTTGAAAAATGCTCTGTGCTTACACAAAATCAAAAACAATTCACAACAAATTATAGACATTTCAAAACATCAATAAAAAATCCTCATGAAAAGTGCAACACAAGTTGACTATCAGAAACGAGAAATAGGCTCTTAAATTAAGGCAGGATGTCAATGCTAATACCAGTCTCAACTTAGAGTTGGAGCAAGCCTAAATTTGAGGCAAAATGGCTGAGCATGCCCTTATGGCAGGAGAAGACTTGTGTGTAGGAAGAGGACTGTGTTTGATATCTCCACTCAGAAACTCAGACACAAGTCAAAGCAAAAAACAGGGGCAGTTAGTCACCGAGGAGACGCAGAGGACAGAGTGCCAACACACACACAAATCCGATTGGCTGGAGAGTCTACGGTAGGTAGGTACAGATCCAGGAACAGGGCATGATCCCAAAAGAGTCTCCCACACTGAGGTGATCAGGCTGCACCTTCAGCCTGAAACAGAGAATAAAAATATACAGCAGTGATGGATCATCATGATTCATTATAACATTATTACACAGTTTACATTATATTTGTCTTGCAATCAGTCTACAGCTGTATATGTAAGCTGACTACCACACAGGATACAATACCAAAACAGTATTTGCAAAATCAAGGGAAAATAAATAGGAGGAAAAGGAGGTTGATATGTGAGGAAAACACAAAAGCTACAACAAATGAATATTAGGAACTCATATGGTGCATATTTTACTTCTTTTTTTTTTTTTTAAAATCAGACTGTGATGACAACTTTCCCTCTTATCTGAATGACAATAATATTTTACTATTACCAGTTGTTCTCAATAGTGAGTCACTCAAAAGATAAAGCCCCATATCACAAACAAAACAAAACTTGAGCAGTATGATACAATGTTAGGTGAGAGAGATATGGATAGACTACAATAACATATGTGCGATCTTATATTGTATATTTTCCGTAAAATCGACAAACTCTTTATAGAGTAAATAAACAGACAGGAATATCGAGATACTTAAGGGAGGGACACCTCAAGATAAATGGCATTTCAGAATCTCTGACAACAGACACTGTCTCACTGTATATATTCTTTTATAAATATATATGTATGTAATCTTCACATCTAACAGCTTTATTAATGTTTTTCAATTCAGATGAGATCTATAATGTGATACCAAGACCGACTGCAGGCATCTCAACTTTCAGACTGACACTACTCTAGTTTTCAGTGCTTGTGTAGGCTGTTGATGGTATTGACATCAACTCACTATGTGAATAAGAACTAAACTATTGGTTGATTAATTGATTAGCTGAACAACAAAAAATAT